TCTGCTTCCGACCTAGCTGGTTGGTCTGCAGGGTCTCACCTGTCGTTTTTCCAAAGAGCACTATGATGGGATCAATCTCCAAGAGAGGAGATGAAAGATCCAACAGCATGGATCTGTCCGAGGCATGTGACCTCTTTTCTGCAAAACAAACACACCTACTTTTACAGGAGTTGCCGATTTGGCATGAGGAACCTAAAGTTCTTTTTTTTTTTTTGAGACGGAGTCTCGCTGTGTCCCCCAGGCTGGAGTACAGTGGCATGATCTCAACTCACTGCAAGCTCTGCCTCCTAGGTTCACGCCATTCCCCTGCCTCAGCCTCCCGAGTAGCTGGGACTACAGGCAGCTGCCACCATGCCTGACTAAATTTTTTGTATTTTTAGTAGAGATGGGGTTTCATCATGTTAGCCAGGATGGTCTCGATCTCCTGACCTCGTGATCCGCCCGTCTCAGCCTCCCAAAGTACTGGGATTACAGGCTTGAGCCACTGCTCCGGGCCTAAAGTTCTTTACTTTGTAATAAGACAGAGAAGGCCAGGCGTGGTGGCTTAAGCCTGTAATCCCAGCACTATGGGAGGCTGAGATCACAAGGTCAGGAGTTCAAGACCAGCCTGACCAACATGGTGAAACCCCATCTCTACTAAAAATACAAAAAAATTAGCCGGGCACGGTGGTGTGCGCCTGTAATCCCGGCTACTCAGGAGGCCAAGGCAGGAGAACTGCTTGAACCCGGGAGGCGGAGGTTGCAGTGAGCTGAGATCACGCCATTGCATCCCAGCCTGGGCAACACAGCGAGCCTCTGTCTCAAAAAAAAAAAAAAAGACAGAGGTTGCTCTCTGACTGCCTGAGGGATTCAGGGCTGAGTCCACCAACATTGTTTCATGAAACTCTCCTGGGTCAGCCAGCGGAGGCGTCATGTACACAGTCAGCACTCCACAGCTCCTCACTTCCTGAGCATCTACAGCGCAAACCAACACCCACCACACTCACAGAGCACCTGCCGCATGCCAACCCGAGCCTCCCTCACAGGTCGCTTTCATCTCTTTTTCTCTCTTCACTGCAAGGTTTGTGCCCAAATGCAATTAGGCACTTTTTTTTTTTTTTTTTTTTTACAGAAACAGGAACTAAAGAGTTTTAACTGGGCACCACTATAGCAGTGGCTGTTGACCATCGTCTCCTGGCTGGAACCAGGGAATCCTGTCGTTCAAGGAGGAGCAACGCAGCAGCAGGCATGCCTTCTCAGCCCCAGCTGACTCACTCTGGGGTGGATGGATGGATTTACTTACTTATTTATTATTTGGTTCTTGCTCTGTCACCCAGGCTGGAGTACAGTGATGCAATCTCGGCTCACTGCAGCCTGGACCTCCCGGGCTCAAGCGATCCCACCTCAGCCTCCCAAGTAGCTGGGACTTCAGGCACATGCCACTACGCCAGCTAATTTTTTAAACGTTTTGTAGAGACAGGTTCTCGCCCTGTTGCCCAGGCTGGTCTTGAACTCCTGGCCTCAAGCCGTCTGCCCACCTTGGCCTCCCAATAGTGCTGGGATTACAGGTGTGAGTCGCCACACTCAGCCCACTCGGTTTTGAGTGGCCATTTGCTTTGACTCAGCAAACACTTCTGATGGTAACAAAGCATCAACTGGGTGGCTGGTTTCAATCCTACTCTTGCACCCAACACTGCAACATTTTATCTACCTGGAGCAAATGCTCTGGGGTCCTGAGGAGCTGGCCACACTGCCCATTTTGCTGGTGGGACAGTGGGAGGCCCTGCCCTCCTCCCATCCCACACCACTTAGGCAAAAGCTGTGCCCAGGAAATGTCACCCGTAACTGGTCTGCACAGACCCTGTCTTCCAAAAGGGTGCTGTGCCTCCACCAGACCCCACGGGCAGTACATTGGTCAAGCACACACAAGACACGCCAAGGCCAAGGCCTGACTGATTGGACAGTAAAGACACAATGAGCCCCTCTCATTCGGAGCTGATTACTCACAGAGTGAAAATAAGAGAAGCCTGAGATGGCAGCTCCCTGCCATCCTGGTGCCACACACTAAAAAGGACAGCACTGAAACAAAAGGGGTCAGAGAGCACGCGCTGTGGGACACCCACTGCGGAGCAGCCCCTGGAGACTGCGCCGGGCGGCATCCTCATCTGTGGCTCTGTTGTGGGGGCCGGGGGCAGGCAGCCTCCCCCTCACCAGGGCTGGCGAGGCAGGCAGTGAGGAGCAGTCTCGGGAGACAGAGGGAGTGAGCGGTGGCCTGGGTGCAGCCTGATGTTCTGGGAGGAGCAGGCTTAGGTCAGCTGCTGTGCGCACCTCTGCGTGGCCTGTGGGGATCCTGCAATGGCTCAGGGCCCCACAGCAGAGCTGTCTCCGCCCACACAACGGACACACAACCTGACACACAGAAACTCACAGAGACACAGAGAGGCACATGTGACACTCAAAGACAGACCCACACAAAACACGCAGCAAAGCCTTTTGCCACACGTGCACACACACATACACACAGGTGCCCATCCCTTCAAACCTTGGTGTTTGCCCAGACACACCTGTGTCAGAGACAGGGGACCTGCAGCTCCCCAACACACACCAGTCACCCCACACTAACCCAAGGTGTCACCAGCCAGCCTGGAGGACTTGGGAGGCCAAATGGAGGTGGACAGTGGCCACAGACCAAAGGCCTTCGGTGGATAGCACCCGACGTGAAGAGCCATGGCGCCCACCGTGTCCACACACACAGGGACACACACGTCTGTGCACCAGCTCCCCCATTCCTACACACGCATCACCCATCCCTGGGGCTCTGGAGGATGAGACCCCTCCCTAAAGACCCACAGGTGGCCCAGGAGTCCTCATGCCTGAGTGACCCACTGCTCATGTCCATGAAAAAGAAAAGGAACTTTTTATTAGCACCACGCTCTAACCAACTGAGCTAACCGGCCAGTTGTTAGAAAAGGAACTTTTTATCTGAGGAATGGGAGCCCCCTTTAATTATCTGGCTCACAGAGGCACTGGAATGAAACAGCAGTCACATCCCACTCCCACTTGAGCTAAAGACCTCTTGAAGCCACATCCTTTGTGAGTTCCAGACACGCCAAGTAGACATAAAAAGCCATGCGCTGGACACCATAACCCTGTAGTCCAACACTGTATAGCCAGTCACTAAGGTTCTCTCTGGAAAGCAGTCAGAAATCCTGCTTATTTGATATCAGCCCACTCCCTGTCCCCTTCAGTCTTTAAAAACTTGCTTGTGATAAGGCTGAAGGAAGCACTCCCAGGGCAACTTGGTGTGTCCTGGGCAGCTCTCTCAGCCTTGGCCCAGACAAACTCTCTATATGAACTGTGGTTCAGTTTCTTTCTTTAGGTTGACATCCACATTAGGGGAGCAGTGTTGCTGGGCTGGGGAAGCTGGTTCAGGTCAGATGTTGCACCAAGGGTGGGAGAAGGGGCGTTCCTGCATCAGCACCCAGACGAGGCAGAGCAGCAGGTGTCCAAACCCAGGCCTGGCTTGCTCCTGCTGTGGCTCACAGCCCCCACCCCACCTGGCAGACTGTGGAGCTGAAAACAGCGTTGCCCAGCTGGCCACAGCATGTATCATCATCACATGGCGCTGCCCTATATACCCCAGTCTTCACACAGATACTCTTCATGGACTGGGGGACTGAGGGCAGGGACACTGGTGAAACAGGCAGGCGTCTTCACCCAGGTGCTTATCCCACTGACGACCTCCGGGGGAGGTTAACAGTGACCGACCAGGCCCAGCCCCAGCTGGCTCCTGGCCACTCACTGCAGGCTCAGCTCCCACAGTCTCCACTCCCACCTCCAGCTCCTGCCATTCCGAGGGACCTGGAGGCCAGGGTGCCCTGCGCATGAGCAGCTCTGGGTTGTGGCCCGCCCTCCACGGCAGTGGCCTGAGCGCTTGTCATTATTCACTTTATTAACTCCTGGTTTCTGGCTGGAAGGGATCACACAGACATGGCATGCAGCGGAGCCAATCCTGCCAGGGACTAAGGAAACAGATCCTGGAGAAAACCAGAGACTTTGCTGGCGCTTCAGGGGGACCCCAGTTGGCTCAACGCCCCCTCTCCCCCATAGCCAATCACTAACCAATGTTCTCTCTGGAAACCAGTCATAATTCCTAACCTAGTGAAAGCAGGGTCATCTCACACAGCCCAGCCACCCCTCAGGCAGCTAAAGAATGCCTGGTGAAACGCCAAGTCTGAGCGTGTCCTTGTCCCCAAGCCTTTCCGTGCTGCCTGCTGCTCTTCGGACAAGCCTCCAGCAGCCTCTGTAATGAGCAGCCCCCGCCCTTGTTTCCTGCGCTGGCTTCCGCAGCCTGGCCACACCGGTCCTCTCCTCCCTCCACCTGACCTGATACTGGCAGAACCTTTGCAGGAGCCTTTCCTCCACCCGAGCCCCTCCTATTAAAGCCTGTTCCTAGCCGGTTCAGCCCCAGCCACCAGAAGCCCCCCAGCCCCGGCCCAGCAGCTGGCCTGGGAACAGGGAAAGCGCAGTCTGGGCTCACAGTTCGCGCTGGGGGCCGGGCAGCCTGGGGCGACCATGCAGGCCCAAATGGGGACTCCGGCTCCAACCGTCCTGGCCCAGAGGCTCTAGGGTGGTCCTGTCTGTCTCACCCCGGGGGCGGGGAGGACGCAGACAGACCCCAGCGCCACTGTTCGGCCGCGGATGGTGCCTTAGACCCAGGTCCTGTGGGCTCTGGCCGGAGCCCCCCACTCTGGGGGAAGGCCGGTGACTGGGAGGAGTCCGCCTCGCAGGCGCGCCCGTGCGGAGCCAGGACCTCAGCCCGCACTGACTCAGGGAGGGGTGGGATTCTCCATGGTCCTGCGATATCCAGGCGGCGGAATCTCGCCTCTAGGGTCGCGCGGCAGCAGGCAGGTGTGAGGCTGGGCTGAGCGAAACCCTCCTAGGAGCCTCCGCGGAGGGGCGGGGCCCCTCTCCTCCCGAATGACGCAGGGGGTGGGGCGCGGGGCGGGGCACGCGGCCGAGCGCGCCGCGCTCGGGACTGTCGTAAGAGGGGCGGGGCGCGCTGTGTTCGGAACTGTCGTAAAAGGGGCGGTCGCGCCGCGCTCGGGATGACGTGAAGCTGGGGGCGCTGTCGCTGTTGCAGGCGGCTAGCGGGCGTTCGCGCCATGGAGCGTTATGCGGGCGCCTTGGAGGAGGTGGCGGACGGTGCCCGGCAGCAGGAGCGACACTACCAGCTGCTGTCCGCGCTGCAGAGCCTTGTGAAGGAGTTGCCCAGGTATGCGGGCGGGCGGGCGGCGGCCTGCCGAGGCGGTGTCGGGTCCCTCCAGGGCTCACCGCGCCCCCCTACCCCGCAGCTCCTTCCAGCAGCGCCTGTCCTACACCACGCTCAGCGACCTGGCCCTGGCGCTTCTCGACGGCACCGTGTTCGAAATCGTGCAGGGGCTACTGGAGATCCAGCACCTCACTGAAAAGAGCCTGTACAACCAGCGCCTGCGCCTACAGAACGAGCACCGAGGTGCGCGGGGGCAGCGGGACGAGGTGCCTCCCCCTTGGGGTCGGCGCCTCCCGGCAGCTCTTGTTATCTGTGCAGATCGGCTCCTTCCCTGGGAGTGTTCGGAAAAGGTCCCCGAGATTGACAAAACCCATGGGCGCGGAGACTGAGACAGTGCCTTTTTAGTGACCAGTGGGTCCAACTAGTTTTGTTTTCAGTTGTTGCAGCCCCCACTTCTTAGCAGAAACTCCTTGCTCGGGCTTCCCTGTGCCCCAGCCCCTTCCAGGCGGGACGGCCCTAGGCCTCGGTGCCTGATTGGCCTACAGGCAGACTCTGGTGGTGGCTCTGACTGGTTGCCCTTCGTAATTGGAGGTCTGTTGACAGCTGTGCAGCGAGCGCCCTTCAGGGTCAGTTCTCTCTCAGACCTCGCAGGGCCTCATTCCAGTTGCACATCAAATTCCTAAGCACTGTCTCCTGTGGCGCCCTCGCAAACCCGAAGAGCTTCCCACTTGAGCCGCATGCTTGGTGCGCTTGGGAGTTCTTTCCTGCGAATTATATAGGCCAGGTGCCCCTGCACCATCAGATTTCAACCTTCGCTATTTTATTTTTCCCAAACTTCTTTTAAAAGTTGAAACATTTAGAAAAGCTGAAAAGATAGTCTACTGCGTGCGCTTGTGCTCGCCGCTGGAAGTTCAGTAGTGAACGTTCTGCTCTAGTGTTTGATATCCCAAAATGCGTGCATGTGACAGCATAGCGGTTCACCTAGAGTCTTCAGCGTTCCTGGAGACCAGGATTTTCAACCCAGCAATGTTGACATTTGTGGCTGGATAAGTCTATGGTGAGATGCTGTCTTGCGCATTGCAGGATGGCAGGGGTACCCTCCCTAGTCCGGAAAACCAAGAATGCCTCCAGACAACCGAGGGGTGGGGTCAACCTTGGCCTCGGATTGGGAGCAAGTTCTCTAGAACAAGAGCGGTCTCCTACACAGCTGCCGAGGGTAGCCCCCAGAGAAATTAACTGTTCCGGGTGACTCCTGACTTTCAGTGCACGGCCACATCATGCTACCTAACTTGTGGCAAATTGTTGATTTATAAGTAAGGGTCCAGTCCAAGTTCATATACTACAGTTGGCTACTTTGGTCTCTTTGCTTCTGGAACAGTCCCCAGCATTTATTGTGGCATTGACTTTGTGTAGAGTCCAGAGCAAATGCCCTGCTGTGGATCTATCAGGCTGCTTCCTCGTGCATTTAACCTGCTTCTCCACTCTCTGGGTTTCCTGTACACTGGACTGCTGGTAGAAGCCTGATTAGAAGCAGGTTTAATGTGGCAAAAATTCCTCCTAGCGGAGCAAGGCGCCCTTCCCCAGAAGGCAGGCGCTGTCCATCTGCTCCAGGATTCGTGTTTCTATCAAGAATGGATGTCGGATTTTGGTAGACCCGTTTGGCAGCTCTTGAGATGATTACGTGGTGAATCATTTTCTATGACTACAGTGAATTACAGTTACTTGAATTCCATCCTACTTGGTCGTGCTGTAGTATCCTCTTTATGTACGCTGGATTTGATTTGCTAAAATCTTGTTAAGAATTTTTTTGTCTATGTTCATGACAAAATGTGGTCTATAGTTTTCATGTAATATCTGGTTTGGGTATCAGGGTTTTTGCCAGCCTTATAGGATGAGTTTGGAAGTGTTCTCTCCTCTTCAGTTTTCCAGAAGAGTTTGTGTGTAATTGGCATTACTTCTTCCCCTAAATGTTTCGGCGTTTGTCTTTTTAAAATTTTTTATTGAGCTGTAAGAGGCATACAGTTTAATCCCAAGGGCATGGCTCATTATTCCTTATTGCTCAGACTGTGCCATGTGTGGCCAGTGGGGGCACTCCAGGCTCCTTTAGATGCTTCCCCGTCATTCTGTGAGTACTTCCTTGCTTTCTGGTTCAGGTACATGTTCATGCTCATCTTTTCTTGTTTTCTCCCTGTCTCAGTCCTGGAATCCGCCATTTTTCCATAGAGCTGTGGTTCCTTCTAGCAGGATGGGGAGTTTCAGTAACTGCCTGGGCCCAGTGCTGTTTGTGCTTCAGGTTTGGGCCAGGCCCTGGTTCCACCAGCAGCAGGCATGCCTGCGTTGACTTTCTCCTTCTCCTTTCTGATTTGGCAGGGGTGACTGGCTGCTCCTGCCTCCTTTGTGTTCCCTGGGCATGTCTAAGGCCAGGCCCTTTCTACACAGGCAGCCGGCGTGGCTCTCTTCTTCCCTTTTGGTTGCCTACCTAGTGGAATCTGGTAGTGGGCCTGGCACTTGTAGCAATGTTTGATCAGTAGAGTGAAGGAGATGACATTTCCCTGCTTCCCTGTGTTATGGAGATGTCTCGAGGGAGCTCTTGGTTTGAAACATATTTCATGTGATAAATGCCATCACTGAGGTGTGTACAGAATGCCAAGAAACAGGAGATCGGGGAAGGCTGTAGGCACAGTGGAAGCCAGGCTACCCGCAGGGGAGCCTCAGGGACCCTGAAGTTCCCTGGAAACTTGCCACCAGAGAAGAGCTGCAACATCAGGGCTCTTCCCAGGAACAGAGTGTTGGGTTTCACGTTTCTTGTGGCCAGGGACCCCTCCTTCCTGGGGAGCTGTAGCCATTTGGCACTTACTGGTCACTGGCGCCAGCTGCGGGGTGCTGCATGTTCCATTTTTGCCATGATGGTTTATGTCCCATGATTGCTTCCTCTGTACATTCTCTTCAGACTAGAGTTTGCACACATCTGTGTTTGTGCACAGTTCAGCAGGGACCGTGGAGCTTTGATTGGTGGCCGAGGGTGAGCCCCTCAAAGCCACACAGACTCCCTGACCCAGAGCCGCACAGGCTTATGGCACCCCAGGTTCATCCCAAATTTGGGCCTGCCAGGTCAGCTCACCCTTCTCGGTCTGACGCTGTGCAGGGGCTGGGAGCTGCAGATGGGGGAGGCGGCTGCCCACCCTGAAGGGTGGAGGGGCCGAGCACACCCCTGGTAGGTATCCCGGCCCGCGGGATAGTCAGAGCAGGCCCTGGAGGAGGGGGTGGGAATTTGGGGAACAAGAGACACGAGAAATGGAGACAAGACAGTGCTCTGATCAAGTCTCGTTTAATGGCGGTAATGCACTGCCTTATATACACTTGGAAGGGAAGGGGTTGGGCTAAGGCGGAAATGATCTCATTGCCGAGGGCGTGGCCAGGTTAGTTTCGGTTTCTCCGGTCGGACGTCATATTGCGCTTGCGCTATTAAGTAACAATTTTCCCGGGCGCGGGAAAAGTGAGTGAAGAAGCAGCAGGAAGAGCGCCATCTTTAATGAGGTATTAGTACAGGGGAAAAAAGGCAAAGATAGGGAGAAGGTGTGGGGTGGAAATGAATATAGCTCAGGCGTTTAATCCTCAATTATTATTCCCTATGGCCGGGGCGTGCAGCTCCGGACAGGTCCCCCTTTTTATATTTTTATGATAAGAAAACCCCTCGGGAACTGCGCCTGTCTTAGGTTGGGTCAACTCACCCCCACCTTCTAGGCCCGTCATGGGATAAGGCAGCAGCAAGGGCGGCCCTCCTGTCTTAGGCTCCGATGGAGATAGTGTCCTCTTACCCGTCATTGACTGTCCAGTTCAGCACACAGGGGAGGTGGTCTTATTAAGGTAAATAAGACTCACCATTTTCAGTCATCTCAAGGCGGTGATAATGAACCTGTATAGGTTTGGCCTGGAAGGCCTCAATTTGTTGTCTGACAAATGCCATAAGCTTATTAAGGATTATAGGCCCGAGAGTGAGGAAGAGTAAAAGAGTGAGTAAAGGACCAAGGAATGGCAGGAGATAGGGGAGAAGTCCATCGAGTCCAGTCCATAGTGGATTGGCGGCCAGGCCTTTTCTGCGCTTTTCTAGTTCTTCTTGCAAAGTTTTTATCTTATCTCTGACGATTCCGGATTTGTTGGCGTAAAAACAGCACTTTTCCTGTAAAGCCAAACATATCCCTCCCTGTTCTGCCGTTAACAAATCTAGACCTCTTCTATTTTGGAGAACTACTTCAGCTAACGAGTCTACTTGGTCTTGTAAATCTTGTATAGTACTGGATAAGGTCTGTACATCTGAGATTAATTGATTGGATAATTTAGTATATTGGGTTAGTGAGACTCCTAGGCCTGTGGCTCCTGTAGTAAAAGCAGTGGTGATTCCTAGTCCAGCCAACAAGGGAATAAATTGTATGGCTCGTTTCGGTCTATAAATAAAATGTTCAATAGCGGGGATGGGGATAGGTTCATCTCCAGGGATGATATCAATGTCGGGGAGAAGAGTGGCCAGAACACAAAGCCCTGTCCAATTTGTAGGTAGATACGTATATGCCATGTTGTTTCCACAAACGAAAACCGAGCCATTTATAGCACACAAAGGGTTGGTGGCATTGATTATGGAAGTACAGTTGCCAAACACAACATAGCCTAAATCAATTTCTTTACTGTTATTATATGATGGTGAAAAGAGGCAAGGGGAATTAGAAAACGTCATCGGTTGAACTAAGGGGGGGTGGGTAATAGGACAGGAATTATTTACTAAGGATTCATTTGAGTAATTGACATAGGGCAATGAAAGGTTAGGTATGGCTAGAGGAATAGGGGGGCCCATTTTAAGACAAAGCCAACAATCGTGGGCCAGGCTTGTATTGGACATTTGAAGTAAATTGTAAGTAGCATTGAGGATATCAAAGGTTTTGGCATCGAGCCTAAAATTATCTCTAAGCTCAGGCAGGGCTAAAGGGTGATACTGAAGTTCAGGATAAGAAGCTTTATGAATTTCTTCTAATTTTTTCTGGACGGTTTTAATTCTTGTAATATCTAATGGGCCTCCTCCATCAGAAATGTGAATGGGGGCGGTAGTGCTCCAACAAACAGGCTTTCCTTTTTGGCCGTTACAAGGAGATTGTACAAGTTTATTAGTGGATCCTAATACTTGTACGTCATTAATGCCTCCAGTTTGTGTTTTTAGTAATGTGGCCGTATAATATGTTCTATTGCCTGAT